TGGGGAGGGTATGTGCTATGGTGAGCACTGTGAATCGTGCAAGACTGTTGAATCACAGATCTATACCTCTGAAACAAATAATGCAACATATGTTAAGAAAAAAAAAAGGAGATAGCAGGAAGGGAAGAATGAAGGGGGGGAAATTGGAGGGGCAGACGAACCATGAGAGACGATGGACTCTGAAAAACAAACTGAAGGTTCCAGAGGGGAGGGCGGTGGGGGGATGGGTGAGCCTGGTGATGGGTATTAAAGAGGGCACGTTCTGTGTGGAGCACTGGGTTTTATACACAAACAATGAATCATGGAACACTACATCAAAAACTAATGATGTAATGTATGGTGATTAACATAATAAAAATTTAAAGAAAAAAAAAGATTGGTAGCTATTTCTGTTTTGTAGTGTTTTGGTCAGGTTTGGCACCTTTTCTTCCTCTTCTATTCTTCAGAACTGTTTAAATGTAAAACCCAACCCCTTAATCACTACAAAAAACTGACTACATCCTCAGTGCGCATGTCAATGTTTTGGTAAATGCAAAGTGCTCTACAAATATTAACTGTTAGAAGCAGCAATATCTCAAATGTCGAGGTCCTGGAGGATAATTTGGGATAAAGAAGGTTGACTGACACTTGACTACCTTAGAGCTGCAGACACATTTTCTATCTCTTCCTCCTTTTTAAAATCCATTATGAAAAATAAGATTTCATGAGATTCTCATTACTGGAAATCACTGCCCCCTTTACACATTCTGAGAGAGGGAAGGGGCCTTGGAACCCTAGATCAGCCTCCCCCACTCTAGGAAGGCAGAAATGCACCCCAACAATCACCACACAGAAATCATTATGCTAAGTGCATAAAAATATGTTGCTGAACCCACTGAAGAGCCCCGCGAGGATGTGTAAACAAGTTCAGAGATGTTAGGTAACTTCCTATGGTTACACATTAAGTCCTCACATAGACACTCTACCCTAACTTCTATGTCCTTTTTTCCCCCACTACTCACTTTCCTGCATTTCACATTCATCCTTTTGTTCTTTCATGCAACAAAACTGACCAAAAACTCATATGGGCCTGGCATGAGCAATAGATACCAGCCCAAGAAAGAGCAGAATCACAGTCCCTACCCCTGGAGAGCTGAACATTTGTGAGGAAAGACATTAAATAGGTAAAGTGAGGTGTGTGAAATGTTCCAAGGCAGAAATGTGGAGTGCTCACCTGAGCCCACAGTTTAGGGTGACCTGTTTGAAGAAGTGAAGACTCATCAGGAGTTAGCAAAGGAAAGATGAAGTTATAAGGGGAAAAAATTAGCCAGGCCAGTGGAACAATATATGTTAAGGGACACAGAGAAGGTACATTCAAGGACCCAGGCTGGAGAGGTCAGTGGGGGCCAGATCACAAAGAGCCTTCTATGCACACACATGGGGCTTAATCACAAAGCAACCAGAGATTACAACTTCTAATTCACAAAATTCCTTTTTCACAGCAAGAGGCAGAAATGACTTAGTTCTAAATCACTTCATTTTAATACCCACCCAGACCTACAGGATAATTGGTTTGAATTAAATTTCCTTGGTCTGTAGCAGCAGACATAGGATACTATGGAGGTGGAGCCCACAGAACCCAGTAAAGGGCTGCCTTCCCCAAAACTCCCAATTACCAACCCTGCTGTCCAACATCACTGTGAATTTGTTCCCCAGGAAAGAAAGGATGAAAGCTGTGGAGAGCAGATCCAGCCCTGGCTCTTGGACTAACATCTGAATTAGTGAAGTTAGTTACATCACACCACTGCCAGTTATAATTTGTACAATTTGTCCCTTCCTCTGCCTCAATAAAACTGCCCTGCCTCCCCCCTTCTTAGACAGCCTCTGAAGGGCACCATGCTCCAGCCTCCCTCTTTCCTCCTCTGCTGCTGACCACATCCCACCAAGAATCAGAACATTCCTTGTTAAATTCTGAGTCAGAAAGTGTTAACCCTGCTTTCAAAATTCTTATACCTGGGAAGCAGTACTCTGAGAAGAGCATAAGAAAAGCCTCTACAGTTGAGTTAAACTAGTAAAATAAACTGGCTACCTAGTTGAAATGGGCAAGACAGCCTTAGGAACATGTTAAGACAACAGAAAATAATGGAGACATAACGAAAAAATACAAATCACTGATAGTAAAATAATTTTATTTGGTTTCTTTTTTTAAAAAAAGGTAGCAATTCACATATAAATTTAGACTTCAAGATTACAGTGTATATTTGCCAAAAGGAACATCCCTACAGGAGGGATAGACTTAGAGCCTGAGCGAGCACTGGGAAGCACACTCCATGGAGAGTTTAAGTGGAAGTAGTTTCTTTACAACTTCACAACACTAGTTCCCTGTTCCTCAACTCTGCCACCAGGGGGCTTGTAAGAAAACCCACATCCATCACTTCAGGGCAACAGCTTTTAGCTCACGGGAATAGGAAACATCTCTAGGAATGAAAGCACAAAGGTCAATGACCCAAATTTCCCACAACAATCATTATCTATCTGCAGCAACAATACATGACAGATGAAGAGTTTATTCTTATAGTTCAAAGGTTCTTTAAAGGAGGGCTAGAGAACACCAGATCCATTCATAAAGAGAGTGTATACAATAAGCAAAAATTAAAAAAGGATTCTCTCCATTATTACAAATGCCTCTCTAGTATAAGGCCCAGGGAAAAGACCCACTCAAATTTGGGATTCCTTCCCCATAGAAAGTGTTTGGCACAACCCGCAAGCTGTCATGAGACTGACAGGACTGACAGCGGAAAGGTTTCTGGAAGTGGTCCCATGACTTTTCTGTCTGGCTTGACCACAGTATACACGAAAAGTGTCTTAAAAAGCTGCACAAACTCAGGCCTAACTATGGGGCACACTGTTTCAGGAAAGCTAATCCGAAGGGGAAAAAGGCCCAGATGAAATAGGTCTCCCATAGCCACAGGCTAACTTGTAACTCACTCTGTCATCCTCCCATGGGAGATTAAATCCCCTGGCAGCCCAGGAAGTCAGTGGAATCCTGACTTCCTAGGGAAGGTGAAAGCTGGAGAACAACTTTGATTTCAGCATCTCAGAGCCAGGTTAAAAAAAAAAAAAAATGAAACAAAGATGACCAAAGATGCTGTTACTCTGTTCCACACTATGTAGGCTCCAGAAGAACAATATTGAGGAGAATCAATGTGCTAGTAACCATGGCAGCCCTAGGACTTGGCCTTCAGGCAGAGGTACTGGGGCAAATAAATGTACCCCAAATCCAGTTTTTATGAAAACTTCCTGCAGTTATGATATAATACTGTGCAGTGAACAGCTGGGAAATTACATGCTGCTCCTCATTCTGGTTAAAGCCCTGCCTTGCTCTTGGCCAGCCAGAGCTGAGAGGTGACATATAAGGAGTTGTCTGTGGCTAAAAACCAGGCACCTTCATTATGAATGGCCTGGGGCAGTGACACAGATAGTCATCATCCAATGGAGGGGAATGGAGGGCCCCAGAGCTTTGGTTCAAAGCAAAGGTTTCATCTCACCCAGAACTTCAAGCCAAGCTCTCTCTCTGAGCCTACTAATGCAATAACTAGTGATTAGGAATCCCTGGTTGGGTGGCAAGGTACATATCCCAGCAGGCCACCAACTCGACTATAGGAAAACAAAAAGGTGCAAATAGTATCAAGTAAATATTTGCTCAAGTGGAAGATCATTTCCTGGAGAACTTCAGTGGACTAGATGCTAATCACATGGATGAACGCTGGGACTGGACCCCAAAGAGAGAGCTTGGGCCCCAGGCGTAATCGGTTTTCTTTACACTTACCGCATCCTGGCCATCTTCTCTGGCCTCCTATGTCTTGAATGGCTGAGCACACATTTCCCCAGGGACCAATGTAAACATTATTCAACAGGATCTCAGCTTAGAAAAACACAGCTTGTTATATACTTAATGTGTAACATTCCAGTGCAGGCAGTATCTTAGCATCACACTTTCCCTCATTCATGAGTACCAGTTCAGAAAGGAAGACACACAGGATACTTGATAAAAACTGTGGCTGAAAAGACATTTGGGTGCCAGACAACTGGCTCTATCTTGCAATCGGCTGATAAACCAGGGCTACCACAGGAGAGGCAGAACAGATGGAGCACAGGTTCTCTGTGAATCTGAGGAGTCATATAACCATTGTTCCCACTTAACCCCTTGGGCCACATTCTGATATGGGAGTACATTTCCACCACTTGCATCAACCTGTGCTCTCCTTGTTTTGGATGGGGCTCTCTCCAGAGGGTTCAAGAGTCTCCTTAGAGAGGAGAGAACTTTTTCTTCCAGTCCTAACATCTGAATATTTCGAAGCACAAGAGGAGTCCATGAACATGCTAGGGATGTTGCTGCCAAAGTAGATCTTACTGTTAGAAGCAATGGCCTGGTACCTTTTGAGCTCCAGATATTCCGGGGTCAATTTGTGCTGTGTGGGGGCAAACAAGAGCAAAGGAATCAGGACACTTTGGTCCAATAGTCATCTCTCTCCTTCCTTACACACGTTTTTCCTACTGCTCTTCTGAATCACTACTCAACTCTGAGTCATTGCCAATGACGACCTCTCACTTTGACGTGGGGCTCTTATATTCACAGCTGTATTTTAGACTTGAAGTTCCTTACACAAGCTCATGCCTTAATGCAGGGAGAAGTATTTACTTTTTAATAAAAAAAGGACTGAGGAGGTAGATTTTTGGGAACAATGATAACAACTAACATTTCTATAGTGACTTAGAGCCTATAAAATGCTTTCATATCTACTTTCTTATTTCATCTAGCTGAGTTCAACCTGGATCAGCCTGGAATCTCTGCAGGTTCTCTTAAGAGGTAAACAGGTCAATAGATGAGAGTGGCAGAGCTTCATAGGCACTGGGCTCATAACCATCAACCAACTGTTATTCTGCTTTTCTTGACCACATTCTAAAAGTGGAAAAAGATCTCAAGAAATCACCTGGTCTGGTATCATGACTCTACCTAGAAGCTAGATGTTTAAACTGACTGTGGTGGACACGTTTGACAATCAAACAGTTCTTTCTCCCTGTCACAGTTTTGGATTTTTTTGTTTTTTTTAATTTAAATCATGGTGCCTTGATACATCCAACCAAAATCTCTCTGGGCATGATCAAAATTTCTAATATTCCCTGGAACATACTTCCCCCAAAGCCTATCGGAACCTTCCCTAGTAATCCTTTCCCCATCTCAAGTCCCCGGCCTGTCCTCTAGGCCGTTCATAGCACCCCAACACCTTCTACTCCCTGGGTCTACACTCCCTCTGCTGAAACACTGCCATCAAATCTGGTCACAGTGCATAACCAAATTACTTTCTAATGCCTTACTAATATAGGTCATGATCTGAATAGCATTTTTCAAAATGGCATAAAACTGCTGTCCCTTTCAGCATAAGGCTAACCTCAATGACAAAGTCTTGATACTTGTGCCTAGCCAGCTTCTCCCATGACAGATTTGGATTGCTAGTTTTATACACAAGATTCTCACCTTGTCTCCATCTTGACCAAATTCCATTCCGTTTCTATAGAGCTGTGTCTCTTCCAATATGCTAGATTTACTTCTAAATTTATATTGGATTTCAAAGTACTGAAAACTCTCATTATATAAACCTATCATGTCTTATCATTTCTTCTGAACCCACAATATGTTGTTCCTTTCTAAACTGAAAGAATTTAAGACTCGTCTATACCTTAAATCTTGACTCTAATCCTTTAAATCGCACCAAACACTGGCAACCTCTTTCTCAACTCTTTCAACGTTGTGATCTACTCTACAATTAATAATTTTATAAACCTTGGTCATATCCTTCCATTCTCAGAATACCACAGGGGTTCTAGCTGCCTCTTCCTAATTCCTGCTAAGTAGGCCTACATTCTCTAAACCTAGATTGACCTGAGTCCCTATACAAACACTGTTCACCTGTATCACCCAACCTCCTTTCTCAAATTATCACACATAAAATTCCACACAACTAGAATATTTTTAAATCCAGTAAACAAGCAGTACTCAGGGGAATGTGAAAACATGTGTGCTGCAGGGAGCACTACTGATGCTTAGCAGGCAAGGGTCAGGGATGCAAAATAGCCCATAATGCATGGGACAGTCTTCGACAATGAAAAAGTATCCCATCTCAAAATGCCAAGAAAGTTGCTGATGAGAAACACTAAATAAACTTAGCATTTATACAAAAAAGCTACCTTACCTGGGAAGCAACTCTAAATGGACTTTACTCTTCTCCTGTTACTCCTGTCATTCCATGAGAAGACCCTCACCTTTCCTGATTACTGAGCCCTGATACGGCACTACAGATAGATGATTTATGGTATCTGACTTGTGTTTATTTATCTCCCTGCCTTTGTCCTAGCTCCCCACTTTTACAAGGAACTATACAAAGTTCTCTCCCCAGTGAGTGTGCAATATGTCTTGATAAGTGACTGGCTATTTCCAGAGAGTGTGATGTCAACTACCCTTCCTTGACACTGGATAGATCACCACTATCATATTAAAGCCCCACCCCCAACCCCCAGCCCCAAGGAAAAGCAAAATCCCAAAGAGTATATTATAAGGAGTGGGTGAGAGCCAGTCACCTTGTTTGAGGTGGCATATTTGTGTGCAGCATAATACTCAGCATCTGCCTTCGCCTTCTCTCGGGCCAGGAATGCAGCATCTAGCAAGAAAAATAGAGTCAGGGTTTTTAAAACAAAGGAAAGTTGTAATCTATTTCCTCAGCTGGGTAAGAGTTCAGATTTTATGTTAAGTAGGGGTCTCTTTCTCCACTGCCTAATATTTTGATCACTTTATTTTTTTAAAGATTTTATTCTTTTTAAGTAATCTCTATACCCAAAATGGGGCTCAAACTTACAACCCCGAGATCAAGTCACATGCTCCACTGACTGAGCCAGCCAGGCACTCCTCAATCACTTAAAGGCATTTAACAACATTAGGAGTTTTCAAATCCCAGTCCCCAGACAGACTCTTCTCAAAGGGGAATACTCTTGTCAACGTCAAAGAACTCTCAGCTTATTTTCCACCTAATGCTGATCCTTCTTTCCTCTACCCCTCATCACTCAAAAAGCCTCGCACCCTACCCAGGTTCTGGCTTCAAGTAAAATAATGAAGTCTAGACATGAAAGCTCTGCTCTATTTATTGCACTGTCCCCACCCCCTCCAATTTTGATCCAGAATCAGTTAATGCAGAATGATAGGAAGCAGCAGTATACAAGCAAGAGGCTGAATGTCTGGTCTTCAAGACTGTGAGCCTAGAACGTCAACATCTCACTAAATGAAATCAAGAAGTTTGAGAGCCTCTATGAAAATTGGGGCTTTTTTTTTTTTTCCCCAGCTAATTTTTTTATTTTTTTTGGTTGCCAGGTAGAAAAGAAACTGGTAGCGGTGGGGTTTTTTATCTTGTACGTTCTTTACAACTGGTTATGAGTAATTCTCATATTTTGTCTGCCTGAGAACAAAATGGTAGCTAATAAGCCACAACTTAAGGACAAAAAATGAAAGGATGAGTTACCTATAATCATAAACCAAACCAAGAGCTGAACATGTATTGACAAGTTTTTAAAAATTTGTCTAGGGTCTGAGGGCAGCCACCTCCTCCAGACCAGATTATTCCGACTATGGCCCTCCCGCCTACCACAATCAAGAGCCTGATCTCTGAGGCAGATAGGCAGTTTGGGACAGTCAGAGCCTCTTTTCTCCCTGATGTACCTTCAATTTCAGAAATGCGTTTTTCAGTTTCTTTCTCCATCACCTTCTGCTGAAACCGAATTTTTGCCACCTGTGCAATCTTCTCCGCTTCTATAATTATACACAAAAGAAGACACATTCAAAAACACTTCTCTAGTTCCAGAAATACTTAGAATTAGCAGCACATTGTCTTAACATTTAATTATATAAGTTTTTATGTGCTGTTTCATTAAGTTTTATCCACCCAGACTGTAAACTACTCAACAGAAAAAAGGGAATTTATTTCCTATTTCACTGTTCTGTTGACAGTGCTAGTTTTGTGGGAAAGGGGAATACAAAAGGTTCCATTCCTTCATGGGATTACACAGCAACGGTCCACAAGCTAGTGGGAAAAATGATACTTCATGAAAGTAATCAGAACAAAAATAGAGCAACATAAATGCATGGTAACACAGAACAATCTTATAAAATGGCAGGAGAAAGAAAGGACAAGGAAGGTAAGTTAAACCAAGAAAGGCCTTCTGGAAGAAATCCTAAAGAAAATAATGGACATGATCTAGGAGGACATGGCAGAAAGCATAAAGACAAGAAGAACGAATGAAGTCACAGTGAAAAGGTGATTATGGAGGCAGCTGACAAGAGAAGACAACAAATAATTAGAATAGAAAGAAGGCTAGATGACTCCCATCTTCAGTAACAGGCTAAAGAATTTTATATACTCAGGAGCAACTTGGTTGATGGTTAAGTTACCATCAGGGAAATGACAAGATGAAAATAATATCAGAGAAGTATAATTCTGACTGCTGTTGAACATAAAAGAGAAAGTTGGCTAATTCATCTGACACTGTAAAAACAAGTGTTGGGGATGAACAAGTTACCTGCAGCAGGAAAAACCAAACACCCTCAAGTAAACCAGTGGCCTAACCAAAGGATCCAGGATCAGGGAAGAAAGACTCTAATTACACTTTGAATTCAATCATTGCAATTCTTGAAGAACTTTCTCAGTTCTCCTTTTCAGCCAAGGTTAGTATTTTAACACATCTTATCTCTGACCCTTGGGGGAAGTGCATAGTAGAAAAGAACTTCCAAGTGCCTTCTTATTTCCAGAAGATCCAGTATCCTTTATCAACAACTCCAGCACATACTTCCCTATTTCCTCATTAGCATAAAATCAACCTATATCACACCACCCTCCAAATAGACTACAATGTTCAATTGGACTAGAAACTTACCTATAAGCAGAAACTCAAGATAAAACTTGAATAACAGGTAAGGCATCTGGAGCCTACAGCTAGGACCCAGAGAATGGTGTCTCAACATAGAGAAACTGTTGCGGTCATTCCATTTAACACTGCTCTCTGACATACAGGGATAAACCAATAAAGAGCATGAGTAGACTTACAGTTCTAGAAAAATGGTGGAAAGGCTTAGAAAACCCTCCAGCTAACACCACCTTAAAGTGCTAGACAAAATATAACTTTTTTTTTTTTTAATGCATGACTAAGATCGTAAAAAAGGAGGAGAGATCCTCAAGAGACATATGCAAAGGGAGAGCTGAGAGCCAGTACAGTGGTGGCCTTGGTGGTGGTTATTAGACAAGTGAGGGAGAGGGACTTGGATTATTGCCCATGCAGGGCCAGGAGATGAGGTCTTGAGATGTTAGAACTGAGACTCCTGTATAAAATTGAGACCACTAGAGGGCTTCAACTCCAGGGAGGCTAAAAAACTCTACCCACCAGCCCAATGAGAAGTACGCTTTTCTCTACCTAGACACATGACAGTGAAACTAAAACACCCAAAAACATAGAGAAAAATCATAAAAGCAAAAAGAAGAGGAAGCCAAACAAAAATGAAATAATATTGCCACAGGACAAAGAAAAGTAAGTTTTGTTGGGCTTAGACCTGTAGGCTAGATTATCATTCAAGAATGAAATAAAACCATTTCAGACCAAAGAAGAATGATTAAGTATGTACTCCTTAGCCTTCACTGAAAAAACAAAATAACAACAAACTAGCAGAAAAAAAAGAATGAATTGCCAAAAACAATGGAGAGGAAAAAATTAAGTAACACCTATAAATCAAAATAGATGTTTACTCTCAGAAGTGATGATAATGATAATAATTAATCAGGGAATAAAAAGAACATAAAACCAGAATACGAGGCAACAATACGTAAAACTGGGGGACAGTGATAAGAATTAAGGCTCTCTAAGGTTTTATTTAAGAGGATAGAAAGAATGATAAGCTTTAGACTTTGTCAAGTCAGGTATGCTTATTAATATCTTATAGGTATGACTGTACATTCTAGAAACACAATATAAATCTTCCAATCAAGTAAAAGGAAGAAAAGAATAAAGAAAATCCAATCAATTCAATACCAATCAGAAAAGAAAGAAAAAAGAAGAAGAAAAAATGCATGGTAAATAGCACAAAATTAAATGATACAAACAAATCCAAATACAGCAGTAACCACAATAAATATAAAAAGACTAAACTCACCAGTTAAAAGACAGATTCTCACATTGGATAAGATAACAAAATCCAGCTATATGCTGTTTACAAGAGACACACCTAAAACATAATGACATAGAAAAGTTGAAAGTAAAAGGATGGGAAAAGATACATCAAGAAAATAACCAAGAGAAATCTGGCATAGCTATAATATCATTAGACAAAACAGATCTTAAGCCAAAAAGTGTGTCTGGAGTAAAGAGGGTTATTACATAATAGGAGCAATTCTCCAGGGAGATATAACAATCCTGAATCTCTTAATGATATAGCCCTAAAATATATAAAGAAAAAAAAATTACAAGTCATCAAATCCATAGTCATAGTGGGAGATTTTAATTTTAACACACCTCTCTCAGTAGCTGATAGCTCAAGAAGGCAAAAATTAGAATAGAGAAGATGTAAACAACACAATTCATAAGCCCGACCTAATGGATATATATAGAGAGAAAACTGCATCCGACAAATAAAAAAAACACATTCAGTCTTTGCAAGCATACACAGAACATTTACCAAAAAAGTACCATGTATTGAGAGGCCGCAAAGCAAATTTCAACAAATACTTAAGAATCCATATAACAGATCATATTTTGACTATCATACAATATTAGAAATCAACAATAAAGTGGTAGCCCCCTAAAAAAACCATTCAATCTGAAAAAAATATTTTTAATACTTGATAAGTGAAAGGAGAAATCATAATGGGAATGTTTTTTAAAAACTAAAACTGAACACCAATAAACTGCATTTCGAAACTTGTGAGATGTACCTAAGGGAGAACTTAGAAGAAAATTTATAATCTTACATGTTTCCATCAGAAAAGACTGAAAACTAAAGAATTAAGTTAACTCAAGAAGTTAGAAAAGAACCAATGAGAAAACTCAAAAAAGGCAGGAGAGAATAATAAGTGTAAATAATATAATTGAAAAGTAAGTGATAATAGAATCAATGAAATCAAAATGCAGTTTTGTGAAAAGAAAGTATAACAGACCTCTGGCAAAACTGATCCAGGAAAAGAGAAGGCACAAATAAACAATACTAGGAATGAAAAGGGGGCATGCATTATTTGGTAGAGGGTTTAAAAAATCAGAAGAAACTTCTGCAAATTTATGCTCCCAAATCTGAAATTTCAGATGACAATTTTCTAGAAAAATATAACTACCCAAACTTAAAGAAACAAGTACCTGAAACTGACCTACAGTTAGTAATAGAAATTAAATCAGCAGGCTAAATGTTACCACAAAAAACAAACAAGCATACAAAAAAGCAAACCCCACTAGACCAAGATGGTTTTTACAAGTGAGTTCCACCAAACCTACAAACAGATAATAACATATTTTATACAAAATGTTCCAGAACATAGAAAAAGAAGAAATGCTCTCCGACTCATTTTGAGGCTAGTATAACTATGAAAAAACTAACAGTAACAGTACAATAAAAAAACTGTAAGCTGTAATGTATGAAATAAAAGCAAAAATGAAAATAAATAAAAGTAAAAATTTTAAAGAAATTATCAGCAAAACATAAAGAGAAATGTATTGGGGTGAATCTCCTACATCATGTTCAAGTGGGTTTATCCCAAGAAGGCAAAATAATTCAGTAAAAGACAATCTATTAATATAATTCACCACATTAACAGCTTCAAAAAGAAAAATCCTATGGTCATCTCAACAGATACAGGAAAAATTCTCAAAGTTTTAACAGCCAGCCATTCATGATAAAAAACTCTCAGCAAGCAAGAAACAGAAAGAAACTTCATTAATAATAAAAATAAGTACAGCAAACACCACTGGGACTATTTAAAGTTAGGAACAAGACAAGAATACCTGTCGCCATCTTTCTTTTCAACACTGCGCTGGAAATCAGAGCCTAAACCAGTAAGGTAGGAAGACTAGAAAGACGTGGAACTACAAAGAAAAAATCAGAACTGTCCTGATCCGAAGACAATTTGCTCACACATGGGAAATCGAAGAGACTATTAGAAATAGCATTTTCAGCAAGACTGCTAAACAAACAAACAAAATTAACGGTATACCTCTACAAGAGCAAAAACCAGTTAGAAAATGTGCCTTCAGAAAAGAGACTATTTGGTGCAGCTGGGTAGCTCAATCAGTTGAGCATCTGTCTGACTCTTGGTTTCTGCTCAGGACGTGATCTTGTGGTCTCAGGGTCGTGGGGTCGAGGCCTGTTTGGGACTCTGCGCTCAGCGGAGTCTGCTTGTCCCTCTTCCTCCCTCTCTGCCCCTTCCCCTGCACTCGTGCACACACTCTCTCACTTTGTCTCTCTCTCTCGAATAAATGAATAAAATCTTAAAAAAAAGAACCTATTTATAATAGCAAAAAACTTGAGGAATATATAGGAATAAAACTCTAAGAAAGAAAGTGCCAGAACTTTAAGAAGAAAATTATAACACTTTTTTGAAAGGCATTTCTCATAAATGGAAAAATATAAACAGATTTATAAGACTCAGTATCACAAATATTGTAATTCTCTCCAACTTGACATGTACAGATAATGTAATTCTAATCAAAACCTCACCACAGCATTTTACAGAACGTGAGCTGATTCTAAAATTTATGTGGAGGAATAGAGACAATTTTAGAGTAGTTAGGAATTGTTAAGAGGCATAATTAAGGAGAAACCTGCTCTCTCAGATAGCAAGATTTAACATAAAAAGTGACAGTAATTGAAACAAGGTAATTCTAGAGAAGGACAGAACAAGAAATTAAGAGAGACTCTAGCAACAGAACAATTTATATACAGTATCTTGTTATAAGACAGATGTGGCATTAGAAATAAATAGAGGAAATAATGAACTTTTCAGTAGTCTAAAATAATTGGCTTGCTACTTGGAAAAAATAAGCTGAATTCCAATGTCACACTAAACCCTAAAATAAATTCCAGATGGATTCAATATCTAAATATGAAAAGCAAAACTGTACAACTTTTAGAATAAAATTATGACTTTGAGGTTGGGAAAGAACTCTTAAATGGGATAGAAAAAGTACAAATCAGAATGGAAGACTGATGAATATGATTACATGAAAATTAAATATATATGAATGTCAAAGACATCATAAAGTTCAAAGACAGGCCACAAAGTGAGAGAAGATATTGTAATGCATAAATCTGGGAAAGGATTAATATCCAGAAGATATAAAGAACTACAAATCAGCTCAAAAAAAGTAATCGAACAATGGGCTAAAGTATATTAACAGGCAATTCACATACAGAAAAAGAGAAACCTGAATGACCAATAAACAATATTGAACTTTCCTAGTAATCAGAGAAATACAAACTGAAATTATGTGATACGTGTCCACCATCACATTGACATAAATTTTAAAAGGTCTAATAACTCTAAGAATTGAGGAGGATATGCAGAAATGGGAATTCAATAAGGCAACAAAGGAACGGGAACGCAGACCCTGCTGAAGGAAGGTAAGAGGGCAGAATCCCTCTGCAGAGCAATTTGGCAATACTGAATGTTATCCATTGGAAGATGTATGTACCCTGTGACCCAGCAATTCTACTTCGAGATACATATTCCAGAGCAATGCTTCTCAAACTACCTATGGGAAAGCAACCTCTCCCCTTATTTGTATTTCAGTCTGTTAAGAAGCAGTATTTTATAAATTATAATAAAAATTACTAGGAAAAATATTAGAAACAAAAACACAGGCTCCAGTTTTTTATTATTAGACTCAACAGACATAAAATTACTGTGTAATACTGTAAGAACTTCTAAGCACTCATTCTCAATTTCTGTAGTCACCTCTTTATGGATCAGAAACAGAAAGCTGGTGATACAGGGCACTGACCGACACTACACGTTGAGTAGCACTACCACTGAAAACTCTGAATGTGTGTACAAAGAGACATGGATACGCAGCACTGTTCATAATACGGAAAAACTAGAAACTAACTCTTCAATAGTAATCTATCGGAATGAACTGAGGTTCACTCACAGAATGAATGCACAGCAGTTTAGATCTACACATTATCAGTACGAATAAAACTCAATGTTGGTAAAATAAAGGCAAGTTGTGGAATAAAAGATAAGAGTTTGATATCATTTTTATGGCTTAAGATAATTCTACGAATTGTTGTTACATATTTACAGTTATGGTATAAAAGTATGTACAGAAAGATCTGCATAAAAACTTTAAAACAGAAGCTACTCAGAGAAGGGAGGTCAAGAAATACGACCAGGTAAGGGTACACAGGAGGCTTCAAATGGATAAATTTATTCTTAAAAGAAAATATGATCTGAAGGAATGTGGCAAATATTAAGCCTTAATTTTACTATTCTCTGTGCATTCCTGAATATTTGAAATAGTTAATGAAACACTTCTTAAATTTTCAGCATCCCAAGGAACAAATGACTGACAGCCTAAGAGGGCAGTCCAATATACAGTATCCTGGAGTGTTAGGGAAATCACTGTGATTCAAAATAAGCTGTAAGCAATCCTACCCTACTGTCGGAGAGGACATCCATCCAGACAAAACTCGGTGCACGTCAACAGCAAGGATGCATATTATAATCCCGAGCTTTGGCCAAAAAACTTCCCTATTCTTAAACTGTATGAACAAAACTCTACTACACAGAGGCTACAGTTGCCCAAAAACCCTATCCATTTTTCTTGTCCTTGGAAAAGCAGTAGCGGCCAAAGACATGGTGGAGAGCCAAAGCACTTCATTAAGTACTGGCACCATCTAGTTTCAAAGGCTGTAGGACATCTGAATATATAAAAGAGTTTCTAAAATTCTCCACCATGTATGATGCAATCTTATTTGATCCCAACAATCCAGAGTCAGACTGACAAAGAACAGGATAAACTCATAACACATGTACTTAGAGACATCCATTTCAGAAAGAAATCCAAGTACCTATAACAGCCTTTTTCCTCTCTGTCTCAGCTTCTTTCTCCACAACCTTTTGTTTCTGTGCAGCTATAAGAAGTTTTGTCTTTTCAGCCTCCCTGTGAAGCAAAATATTATAAAAATTAGAAATGATGTGCAGTCACAGGCAGTAAATCCGACTCTATGGTGAGTCAAAGAACCATTTGCAACACAAACTTCAGAAAGTTAAGGTGCCTAGAGAGGTGTTACCCCATTTTACTTATAATGAATCTGAGGCTGAAAGGTTAAACGATTTGCCCAAAGTCACCTAGATACAGGAATCAATTTATACATTTGAATTTCAGTCTGACCTTTTCCTCTAATTGTATCATAGAAAGGCCTGTGATCCTCAAGTACCTTGAGTATATAAATGCTTCCTTTGTTGTTAGGCTTCCAGCTAGCCCATACAGCACCTCTGGGCCAATTAGCAAAATGCAACACCCTCTGGGCAGATGCAGTCCCTCAGGTGCATAGTCTGGTAAGAAGGATGGAGCTAGATTTGAGCCCCTCCTCAGGCAGACACTCTTGTGCAGTTACCCTATTTGTTGTATGGGAGATATAATTAGGTGGCAGTTATTAGGTGGTGAATTGGGGCTCAATGTAAGAAATTTTCTTTCTAATAATGGAAACGGCTAGCCTATCACTAAGTATGTACAAGCGGTTACTGGGCAACCACAGGGCAGAAAAGGTATAAAAAAAGATTACTATTTTGTGGGTGGGAGGTTAGACCTCAAGGTGGCTTTTAAATTTGGGATTCCAATAGTCTACAAAATTAGGAAAGATCCAGATTTATCTGAAAAGTAACTCCAATAGTTCCCCCAAAACATTTTCCCCCAAAGATCTCTCCTTTCTTCCTGCCAAAACTGATAAAGACACAAAATGGCATTCTGGATACTATGAGTTATTTGAGGGCAGAGAACACATAGTCTTCATGTTTCCATCACTAGAAGCTATCATATTGAAAGCCTAAGACATCCTGAGCCTTCAATCAAAAAATGTTTTTATACAAATGGATCAGATCCATGATCTATCCAGCCTGGCACTCTGTGCTGTAGTTTTAAAAGAGGAGTTCCTTTTCTACAAATGAAAAGGGAAAATAAAATTCTGTTGCATAACAGAAGATAGAGACGGGAACAGTAAGGACTCAGCAGTAAATCACCCCAGGAAGTATTATTATTTCTTGGACTCCCTATACTTACACAACCTGTTGTATTCCTGACTTTTGCTAAGTTATTTTTCCAGCATTTCATATTTTCCACTTAAAATACTAGCCGAATTTCCTAAAGACTTTTGTTTCTTTTCGGTACCTGTCATACAAGAATAATACTGCCATTTCAACCACAGCAGGTATTCCCCTAACCCACGTTCTTCAGAACACTAAGAAATTAATATCATGTCAAGCAAGTAACTTCTCATTCCCAGTCAGCTCTGGACCCAAAAAAGAGAAGACTACCAGGAGTCAATCCAGGCAAAGCTTCCCAGAAGCAAATTATAGATCCAGGTGTAATTTTAGATACACACTCACATATAATGGAAAACCAAACTTTATAGCAGTAAGGTGTCTATCCTTACCACTGTAACACAGTGACACAATATAGGCACTCTCTTCAACCTTAGCAGCTAGTACTCCCTCCTCTATTCATATTTAATTCAAGATATTCATGTCCAAATTATAGCTCCTTAGCCTTCCAACAACAGTTCTACAGCAAATTGCATCCTTAGCCACTAATGCTGCTCCTGAAATGTTCATATATAAAGAAAAACCTAAGAATAATCCAGTAAATTAAGACACAAGAATAAATTATCAGAATTAAAGTATGGAAAATAGATATACACCCCACCCCAGAGTGTAACATCTCACATATAAGTTTCCTCTACACTGGTATATTAATTTGAAGACAGCCCTAAATAAAAATTTTGGGACCCCTAGCATATTACTCACATTAACTCAAAATTTCTTCTTATGGCTTCTGGGATTTTGGGTTTTGTAACACGCACAGCCTGAAAAATAAAAGTGAAAAGCCAAAATATATTTCAAAAATAAATCTTCAAACTAAATCTTCTATAGAAAAGCTCCTCAAATGAAACTAATAAAACTATGACATAGCTGCCTACTAACATGTGTGGAAATTCTACTAGGAAATCTATTCTTCATGCCATCATACCAAGAATCAAATATATGCTGTTTCTTGTTTCCTTAAGAAATGCTTGCCTAGGGGGAAAAAAAATCACCCTAACCCCTATGGAAATAAACTCCTTTAGGGAAAAGGTTCTCCCTTAAAAGACCTCTACAAAGCTCTTCAGTTGGATACTTTTGTTTCCTTTTCAAGCCTGCAAACCAAAGAAACAGAAAGAAGGCAAAATTCCAAGATTTAAAATTGTAAAGTAGGAAATAGTAGAAACAAAAATAAAAGCAAAGTTCAGGTCAGTATATGCAACTTAATACAATAAATGTATTTACTACTTCCTAAACCTGCAATCACTCAGTAATGACTATACATAAACAGCCCAAAGTTGAAGGAAAACAAATACCAGTTAACAGATTACATTCTTTCTTCCTAGAATCTCACTTAGAACAAAGTCTACTTGTCTTCGTAGATACTGTTTACTAGACACTTTGTTTCCCTAACCATAGTGTACTTTGACATTAATTAAGATTTTTTATTTGGAAAGTGCAGCCTTTTGAAGGCTGACTTTTCTACATCAGGCAACTGATCTCTCAAAAGCTTTTCATTTAACTAGTTAAACATCACTCACTCCCTACCTATACTGCAAACACACACACAACACTGCTGATCTGAAGACAGTTTTAATTTCTCTTTGAAAATTGGCTAAACTTTTAAGCAACAAAGCCTTTAAGCACATAACTTTTATTTAATTCAATTAATTAACATACAGTGTATTATTAGTTTCAGAAGCAGAGTGCAGTGATTCCTCAGTCTTATATAATACATAGTGCTCATTACATCATGTGCCCTCCTTAATGTCCATCACCCAATTATCCCATTCCCACCACCCCCCTTCAACAACCCTCAGTTTGTTTCCTATGATTAAGAGTCTCTCAAGGTTTGTCTCCCTCTCTGGTTTCGTCTTGTTTTATTTTTCCCACCCTGCTCGTGCTCTTTCTCAAGCACATAATTTTCTTTTAAGGTTTTTGAAAGAAGACTTTTAAGCAACACAGACTTCCCTACATGAAAGAGAACAGTCAAATCTGTAAAGATTTTGAGAACTAGCATAACCAAACACAAGTAGTGAAATGGAGTAAGAAGCTGGGGACTGTAGTGAAAAAACTCATTATATGCTGAAGTTGAGGCATGTGAGGACATAAGGAACAACTCATGGAGATATCCAGAAGACAAAAATTTATAACCAGCATTTGTGACAGATGCCAGATTTCACTATGTGACTACCAGAAATACAGATGACTCCCAATATGTCTTAATATGATTCAGAAGAAAGCACTGTCATTTTGCATTTAACTAAGAGACTGGCCATATTTCTTTTTAGTCTTATTTTTTTAAAAAGCATAAAATATGACTGTTTTCTGAAGACTTCTATCTTGCTGTATGAAGCTGAAGAACATACTACATGCTTGCCAATCTTGGGAATCTCAGAATTTTCAAATATGTGTAAAATAAGCACCTACTGTAACAGATAATGCAAGTTACATCATAACAGATTTAAAAAGTAAAATGACGAGGCGCCTGGGTGGCTCAGTTGGTTAAGCGGCTGCCTTCGGCTCACGTCATGATCCTGGGGTCCTGGGATAGAGTCCTACATCGGGCTCCCTGCTCGGTGGGGAGCCTGCTTCTCCCTCTGCCTCTGCCCCCTGCTCATGCTCTCTCTCTCACTCACTCTCTCTCTAATAAAATCTTAAAAAAATAAAGTGACAACATATCCAAAAACAATGGCCAAAATACACACACACACAGAGTGGAGAGAGGGAAAAAAAGCTGATGAAATGAATATATTTGAAAGTGACCACCGGGTTATAAGCATATATTTTAAATGGAAAGCCAGCATATAACATAGTCACTCTCTTTAATAACATAGGGAAAAAATATCAAGGATGCATATTTTCACCATTCAAATTTGCCACAGTAGTTGCTCAAGAAAAATGGAGTATAAACACAAAGAAGAGCAAAATTAAAATACTGATTGTTTCAAAGAATGTTTATTCAACAAGTATTAATTGGGTGCCTGTCTGTGACAAGTGCTGTTTGTTCTAGGCATTATGGATACAGCAATGAACAAGACAAGATTGCTCTTATGGAATTGAGAATTTTAAAGGGAGAAAACACGATAACAAAAAGCAAATAAATGAGTAAGAAACTTTCAGACAGTTATGAGTGTTATGTGAACAATTTAAAATAGGATGATTTGGAGACAGGGAAATGGTTATAGAGGGGAAAATCAAGATTTTTACTTTGGCATAATTATATAAATAAAAAATCTAAGGAAATTCATAAAGTTGCAGTCAAGCAAGATAAATTAGCTCTAAAAGATCTATTGTATAACACTGTACCTACAGTCAATAATAATGTACTGTGCACCTAAAAATTTAAAAGGATAGATTTCATGTTAAATGTTTATACCACATACACAACAAAAAATCCAAGGAAATTAACCCAAAAAATTTATTAGAAACAGTGAATTCAGCAAACTAGTAGCTACACAATAAATTCACCAAGAATCATTTACATTCCTCAATGATTATACAAAAAAAGACTACATTTTTAATAGCATTAACACTCAGGAAATCCATGAGCATTAATTTAATTTGAGACATGAATTTCTCACCTGGTCAGAAATTCTAAAAGAAACAAAAATGATATGATTAAGTAAAGCCATAAACTATGTTCCCAATTTTAAACTTATGTGTCAATTTAGGTACCTGATATAGCTTGAAAATACCAATAATGAAAACTCATCTGGAATAATAAGCTGGCAGAAATACATCTTACCAGATTTTAAAAGTGAATAAAAAGTTGATTATCATAAACATATAGTAATATGTTAAAAAAGGAAGGCTGACAAATAGACCAGAAGTTCTAAAAATGCATTCCAGTTCTCACAAGAAACTTTTATGGCAAGACTAAAGCAAGCAAAACAATGGAGATCTTGATCTACCAGTTTAAAAACATTATGAAGTGACACTTTTTTCATTATTTTTATAAAAACAACAAATGTAACTAAATTTAAAAGATCCTTCTCACTGCTACACAGAAAATGATGTGAAGATAAAAGTCAAACTAGGGCAACATGGTAGGAGACTACTGTTGGAAATCCAGGCAAGAAACGGTGGCTTGGCTTAGGGAGGCAGCAGTGAAGATGGAGGAACAAACAGTTTTACATGGATTTTGGTGGTAAAATCAAGCAGGATATGGGGTCTAATTAGATGTTGAGGGTGAGAGGGTTGTTAAAGATGCCTCCCACACATCTAGATTTGTCTGGAGGGAAGGAGGTGTCATTTACTAACAAGAAGGAAAAACTAAGAGAAGATTTGATGAGAAAAGACTAAGGACTCAGTAACTAATGAAGGAATAGGAAACAGAAAGATCAATGGAACAAAGTCCAAGAAACACTATACTATATAATGGGATTTAACATACAATAGAAATGGCATTTCAAATAAGGGAGATGGGGACATAAATTATTCCATAATTCTTTTTACTACCAAGTTGGGGGCTGGGGAATTAGAGCCTACCTCACAACTGACATCAAAATGGATTCCAGATGAATTAAAGATTTAAATCTAAAAACACAATTATAAAGGGGTGCTTTGGTGGCACAGTCAGTTAAGCGTACTGACTCTTGGTTTCAGCTCAGGTCATGATCTCAGGGTCATGAGATCAAGCCCAGGGTTGGGCTCCACGCTCAGCACGCTCTGCTTAAGTTTCTCTCTTCCTCACCCTTTCCCCCCCATTCTCCCCCTCCTCGCCCCCCCCGACCCACATACTCTTTCTCACCCTCTCTTTAAAATAAATAAATCTTAAAGAATAAAAACACAACTGTAAAAGCAGAGAAAAATGTTGTATTTCCAATTTTATTTAAATTTCCATATTTCAAAGTAATGAAAGTGGCTTAAAGCATGCAAACACTGCAAAACTACTATAAAGAAAAAATACTAAAATTTCTACGTAAGTTTAAAACTTCAGAACTGCTAGGGGGAAAAAGACATTAAATGGTAAAGAAAAAACTCGGAGAAAATGCTTCCCATGCATTTAAGAGTTGTAATAATTAACATATTAAAAATAGCTTATTTATTATTTAAATGAGAAAAAAATAAATTATTAAAAAATGAGCAAACACAACAAACAATTCATAAATGAAATACAAATGGCCACTGAATGTCCTAGGGCATTCAATCTCAATAATTAATACAAAACACCAGATTAATTTCTCTAAAAGGATTAAGAGAGTCAGCATGCATCTGTTAATTATCTGGGTACAATCACAAAATCAAATGTGTAGGAAACAATAGCTCACCAACACTGCTGATGAGAGAATGTAAGATGCTACAATTTTTCTGAAAGGCCATATTTGGCAATATTTATCAAAAAGCCTCCAAACGGGGCATACACTTTGACTCCTCAATACTACATTTTAGAATATATTTTAAGGGAAGGATTTAAAAAGATGTATGTATAAGCTTGTCACTCTAACAGTGAAAAGTGGAAGCCACAGATTAAACAAAAACATTAAAAGTGATGATGTAGTGAATCTGTATTTTTGACTTGAAAAGATGCTTATTATACATACTGTTAGTGAAAAAAGCAGCAATGGTACAATTCCACTTTAGTTTAACATTGGTTATACCTGTAAACAAACATATGCTCCTCTAGATTAAGAAGAGTCTAGAAAGATACAACTCTTATCTCTGCATGGTACGATTACTGGTGAATTTCATTTTGTTATTCATCTTTTTCCCAATATCTAATTTTTTATAGCATATAAAACACATGTGTATAAAAATATTCAGAATATACAAAATACTACTAGAAATCAGTAAAAAAAGGTAAAACAACACAACAGAAAAGGGGGCAAAAGACTATGAATGAGTAGTTGACAAAGTACAAAATGGCCAAAAAATAAGATGCTCACCCTTATTAATAACTAAAGAAATGCAAATCAAAGAGAGATATAACATCATTCCATATGGCAAAAATTAGCATGTCTCATTGCTTCAAATGCTGGTAAGGTTTATGGAGATACAAGTATTCACATATATTGCTGATAAAAATATAGATTTGTGCAGGTTTTTGAAAGATAATTTGTACATACAAGGAGATGTGCCAAGAATACTCCTACCCTATTGTTTATTAATAGCAAAAAATTGGAAACAACAGAGAAATGATTGTGTAATATAAGGCAAAGAATTGTAGGCAGCTGTTAAGAATGAGCTACATCTCCCAAGTAATAACATGAGCAGAAATCTAAGAATCTGTGACATTCACATTTATTATCTTTTTTTTTTTAAAGATTTATTTATTTGACAGAGAGAGACACAGCAAGAGAGGGAACACAAGCAGGGGAGAGGGAGAAGCAGGCTTCCCACTGAGCAGGGAGCCCGATGCAGGACTCGATCCCAGGAGGCTGCAATCATGACTTGAGCCGAAGGAAGACACTTAACGACTGAGCCACCCAGGCGCCCCACATTTATTATCTTTAAAATTGAAAAGCAACTCCAGCCACAACTGAATGGACAACCAGGCAGATTTTATGAAGTTAGTGCTGGACTTTTCAAATGACCCCTTAACTTTGGCAGCTTCCCCTCAGGCACCAGTCAGAGATAATGGCATGGCATGAATAAGGACAGGGAAAACCCTCACCATCTTTCCAGTCTTGTTTATGACATCACACGTGGTCACTTACAGTGAATGCACACTCTCAACAGTGCAACACTTGAGACACGTGACACCAAAGTTTTCTCTTTAGCTGCAGTAACATTTGTTACCACAACTGATCTCCTAGAAAGGGCACTAGAGAAGCCATATTACCACTTCTCAGGTAATCCAGACCTACAGCCATAGCTTTTAAACGTTACTGACCATGACCACTGTAAGACATGCATTTTACATTGACACCCAATATAAACATCCACACCACACTTAGAGAAAACAAAAGTTTTACAGAATGATACTTAAATTTAGTACATGTCATGTGCTCTGATTTCTTTTCTTATTCAATTTTATTTTATTTAAAATGCTGTCATGATCCACTAAAACTGATTTTAGAATCACTCATGGATTTCAACCCCATCTGAAAAAACACTGACCCAAAAAAGCCAGCCTACAACCCCTCACCATTCTATCTCCTAATGCTGCTGCCACTGCCACCACCATCACCACCACCAAATTCGTCTGCTACCTTACTTTTATTCAGGCCATTCTACCCATTTGAAATATCTCCCATACTCTTCCTCCATCATATAAATCCTGCTAATTCTTCCAGACCCACCTAAAATCCCAACTCAATTATAGTCGTTTCCAGGCAGACTCTCTTGAAATGTTCCTGAACTCTAAAGACTTACAGCAATAATCATCCAATCAGTTCATCTGTCAATTAATCATATGTGACATCTATTTTGCTAGAATCATTGTTCAAATCTTATACTTGAAATCCTTGTTCATAATCTTACTGAGACTAAAGCCTTACGCTTACACTGATTTATAACCCTTACTGTATCTTAATAATGCTTCACAATTAGCAGTACATGGATTTCATTTCCTTGTAAGGGCCTCAGCTTATCAGCTTATCAGAGGAAAATGCCACCCAGGGCAAGCTACAAGAGTATTTTATTTTGGCAGAGACCTAAAGTCAAAATGAGAAACCTATTCTGTAAAATCCCATAGCATTTCAATTAAATAACTGCTGAATAAACAATGTCCAATGAAACAATTAAATTCAAAATTCTCAAAATTCCTAGAGAATTTCCCTAGGAAAAGGGCTTACCTGTATGGTGAGGCCTGGGGCCATGACGTTTAAATCTTTCTGGAGAGCTTGCTTCAGGTTTTCATCTATTTGATCTGTTTTTGAGGCCAAGAACAACAGCTCTCATGATACTCAAAAAAAAAATTTTTTTTCATTGTATTAATATTGGAAAAAACCCAATCATTATTAGACCTAAAGTTTCGACGGTATTATTCTATAGAGCTTAAACCACTTCACATACATATGGAAAAAAACAAATTATATCATTATAAATATATAAATTATTACATATACATTTAAAACACATATTTAGTTTTCCTTTTGTATGGGAGAAAGTGTGAAAACCTGTCAAAGAAATTAAGGAAGAAAGATGAAAAACAGGTTGTTTATCCAATAAATGGAGATTCTAGGTCTCTAATATCTTAATTCAGTGTGGTTACTGAATATGTGTCCTGATTCTCATAAAAACCAAATCCCCATTTTCAGTCTTTTTTTAAAGATTTATTTATTTATTTTTTAAGATTTTATTTATTTGTTTGAGATAGAGCTAGGGAGAGAGCACAAGTAGGATGGAGGGGCAGAGGGAGAGGGAGAAGCAGGCTCCCTGCTGAGCAGAGAGCCCGATGCGGGGCTTGATCCCAGGACCTGGATATCATGACCTAAGCCGAAGGCAGACGCTTAACCGACGAGCCACCCAGGTGCCCCTAAGATTTATTTGAGAGAGAGAGAGAGCATATACAAGCAAATGAGCGTGGGGAGGGAGAAAGAATCCTTAAGCAGACTCCCCATAGTGTGTGGAGCCCTAAGCAGAGCTTGATCCCAGGACCCTGAGATCATGACCTGAGTCGAAATCAAGAGTCGGCTGCTTAACCGAGACACCCACGTACCCCTCAGTCAGTCTTTTATTTTTTTAAAGATTTTATTTATTTATTTGACAGAGAGAGACACAGCGAGAGAGGGAACATAAGCAGGGGGAGTGGGAGAGGGAGAAGCAGGCTTCCTGCCGAGCAGGGAGCCCAATGTGGGGCTCGATCCCAGGACCCTGGGATCATGACCTGAGCCGAAGGCAGAGGTTTAACGACTGAGCCACCCAGGCGTCCCCCCTCAGTCAGTCTTTAACCCAAATCTCCAAATAATTAAATTTCATTTCCATGGATCTCTGCTAGTATTTTGGATTTAAGGGGGGCGGGGCACAACTGGGTGGCTCAGTCGGTTGAGCATCCAACTCCTGATTTCGGCTCAGGTCATGATCTCAGAGTTGTGAGATTGGCTCCGTGGCAGGCTCTGCGCTGAGCATGGAGCCTGCTTGGGATTCTCTCTCTCCCTCTCTCTCTCTCTGCCCTACCCACCCCTCCCTCGCTCTTGCACACACTCTTAAAAAAAAAAAAATTAAATAAAAAGGGAGTGGGGAGGCTCACAAAAGGTCTTTGAAGTACACAAGAATGGACATTAAAGCTATCACTTCACTTGGCCTTGTAACTCATGAATTTTCTATCCACCTCAACGTACTTTCACCATTACTAAAACTGGTGATGTGAGAAATGAGGACAGTTTTCTCATACACCTAGTAGTTGTCAATCATCAATGAGGAATGAATCGGTACATGTCTAAAATGATTAACCATCCCGGGGCACCTGGGTGGCTCAGTCGTTAAGCGTCCGCCTTCGGCTCAGGTCATGATCCCAGGGTCCTGGGATCAAGCCCTGCATGGGGCTCCCTGCTCAGCGGGAAGCCTGCTTCTCCCTCTCCCACCCCTCTGCTTGTGTTCCTTCTCTCTCTGTGTCTCTGTCAAATAAATAATAAACTTAAAAAAATAAAATAAAATAAAATAAAATGATTAACCATCCCTATGCCTGCCTATAAGAAATTCACTAAGAATTCTGGGGGGAGAAGTAAGCAACCAACAGCAACAACCCTATCACAGGTTATAGCTTTCTCTACCACAAATGAAAAGTAATTTGTGCAGAAAAGAGTTAACACAGCAGGCCTGAAGCTGTGATCCTTAGAAAGGCCTGTCTGCAAGCTGGCCTTTGGCTGTCACCTGGAACGTGGATCTGGAAAGGATTCCCACTATTCCCAGAACTGGTAAGAATGACTCACTCTGCCTAAACTGTTTATACAAACAATGTGGTTTATGCTGAACACATGCCTTCCTTCTGGGAGTGTGGAATTTTGGTATGTGCTATAGGCAGAGGGTGCCTTTATGTTAGCCCCCAATAAAAATTCTGGGCAGTGGGGCTTGTGGGTGGCTCAGTTAAGTTTCTGACTCTTGATTTTGGCTCAGTTCATGATCTCAGGGTTCTAAGATCAAGCCCTGCATCAGGCTCTGCACTGGGTGTGGAGCCTGCTCAAGATTCTCTCTCTATTGCTCCCCTCTGCCCCCCACCTAAAAAAAAAAAAAATTCTGGGCAGTAAGTCTCTAATGAGCTTCCTTCTCTAGCAGACATTTCATATGTGTTGTCACACTTTAATAGTGAAGTAAGTGTATCGCACGTGCCTCCACTGGGAGAAAACTCTTAGAAGCTTGTGCCTGACTTCCTCCGGATTTTACTTTTTGTATCTTAGCTCTGAGAACATATACTGAGTCCTGTCAGTCTTCCTAGCAAGTCATCAAACATGGAGGTGGGTCTTGGGAAACTCTAAGAAAGATTTCTAAATTTCCCCAAATTATCTATTAAAATAGCAACAAAGCTAATTTTCACTAAGTTATCATAGTAAAAACAGAATATAGCCTGCAAATAACCTTCTTCCAATCTCTATTAAGTTACATATAATAGATTTCACAAGATTATCATTCTTAAAATATTTATTTATTTAATTTTATCATAAAAAATTTTAAACTTAAAGAACATGTTAAAGATAAATGCTCTGTTATAAATTCAGAAGAAATGTTGAAATAGGATAATGTTTACTAATATTGGAGAGTCCACAGAGTTGACTAAGATTTCCAATTGGTTATTCACATATTTAATTTACAACAAATAAGACACTCACCAAACAATTCAATGTAAACTTCTTGAAGTGTGTGGGCACTACAAAACTGGTTCAGTTCATGGTGGATTTTATTGAAGATTAAGGTCTTGTCATAATCTGCAGTGTAGTTCCTCACGATATCAAACACTGAAGGAAAGGTAAAATCCATTTTTACCCATGTATCTTCTAATTCAGCCAATGTAAAAGTTACAATATACATGAGGAAAAGTGACAGTAAAATAGTGGAAAAATGAAACAGCTCACAAACCTTGATGTGTTCCTTGTGCTCAATTTTCCAAATATTACTGCATTTGCAATTCTAATGGGCAAATTTTGAGTTCCATACTAAGGAGAGTATACATTATCGCGGAGATAATAAGGAACTGTCAAAATGTTCAAGCAAGGCATTTGTACTGTGGCAGCAGTGTGAAGATGAATTGTGACGCAGGGAAAGTATAAGGCAATTACTGCAAAGCAAAAATTTAGCAAGGAGGTAAAGAAAGCCTGAATTAATTGAAGAACACTGGAAATAAAACAAAGAAACTGCTGCCAAAGACCATTTCAAAAAGGTAGTTTTTAAAGGCTGTAAAAAGGGATGCCTGGCTGGCTCAATTGGTTAAGCGGCTGCCTTCGGCTCAGGTCATGATCCCGGGTTCCTGGAATGGAGCCCCGCCTTGGGCTCCCTGCTCAGCAGGGAGCCTGCTTCTCCTCTGTCTGCTGCTCCCCCTGGTTATATTTATCCCTGACAAATAAATAAATAAAATCTTAATAAGTAAATAAATAAAGGCTGTAAAAAGACACCAAACCAGAAGGAAAAAAAGTGAACCTTTACTGGGCCAGGTTTTATATCACGCAATTTACATACATTACAACTTAATATTCACAAAAATATTTCCTAATTTTGCATAATAGGAAACAGAAACAGAATTTCAGAAATGTTCCTAAGCGTACATACTAGACCACACCAGAATCTGTGCTCTACCTATTAAAACACGTTGTTTTCTTCCTTCAGACCCAAGGACTTGTTCTACTGGCTTTCCCATGGAAGATTTCAGATGTAACTGGATTCTAGATCACAAATGATGGTCAGGCCATCAATAAATACTTGCTAACTCACTTGCTTGGTCATTTCCAAATGAATTGGTGATCCAACAGTTTCCTTATCTGTGGCTACAGAACTAGCAACATCTTCCCTTCATCTATTTTCCCAATCATAATCCATTCCACTGATTTATAACCAGGAAAGTAGATGAGAAAAAGACAAAATAATCACAGAAAAATATAATCCAAATTCATGTGGCAGTAATACAGCTTGCTCTCTACTCTGAAATCCTTTTGCTTTCTGTGACTGTATCAATGCCATGAAATTTAGCATGAACTTACATTCCTATATTTAGGTTGGTATCACGTCTTCAGAAGTAAAATAAAAAAACCCTTAAGGAAAAGGGTCTAATTTCACCTTTTTAAATTGTTTTTGCCAAACACAGTATCCTGTACATATTAAGCATGCCAATTTTAATAAGGACAGAATGGCAGCTCTTTCAAATGAAAGCAGGGTCCCAAATAGACCCACATACACCCATGTTCATAGCAGCATTATTCATAATAGCTAAAATGTGGAAGCAACCCAAGTTTCCATCAATGGATAAATGACCAAACAAAATGTGGGCTATTTATACAATGGAATATTAGCCTCAGAAAAAAAGGAAATTCTAATAAACCTTGAGGACATTACACTAAGTGAAATAAGCCAGTCACAAAAAGACAAATACTATGATTCCACTTATATAAGGTACTTAAGAGTGAGACAAAATCATAGAGACAGAAAATAGAATGGTAGTTGCTAGGGGCTGGGGAGAGAGGGAAATGGGGAGTTAATGTTTAATGGGTATAGTTTCATTTTTGCTAGATAAAAAAAGTTATGGAGATGGATGGTGGTAATGGCTGCCAACAAAGTGAATTTCTTTTTTAAGATTTTATTTTTAAGTAACCTCTACACCCAATGTGGGGCTCAAATTCACAACCCCTAGAGCAAGAGTCACATGCTTTACCAACTGAGCCAGCTAGGCACCCCTGTGAATGTATTTAATACTGCTGAACCGTATGCTTAAAAATACTTAAGATGGTAAATTTTAAGTTACGTGTATTTTACAATAAAAAAAAAAGTCGGGAAAAAAATCAAACATTAAAAAAAAAGCAAATCTTTCTTCAGAACTTCTAATTAAGTTTTTGATTTGAACGGAAACCACTCCATCTCTGTGGGTTTTCATCTTTTACCAAGGAAATGTTTTCCCCACACTGAGATTTTTCAGATTGCTTTGCAAGTTATAGCAAATCTCAACTAGAAAAGAGTTTTCTATGATCATAAATCAGTTTGGCCCAGGAACCGATCAGTTATAGATTTTTAACATGAAAGGAAAAGCTCTCTCATCCTGACTGGATAAAATGCTACTTTCTACAAACTCCAGAAATAATCAATGATTGTCTTGCTCTTAGAAAAACTATGATGAGAGAAGAGTAACACATAAAGTTGCAGAAAGTCAACTGTGTTCAGGACTTGTGACCTATTTCTGCCACCATTCCCCAGAAATGTAAAAGATTCCAGGGATCATTTTTTTATATGTATCAGAAATGAATGAGGTCATAAAACTTTAAAAGTCCCTTCTTATATTCCTTAAGGAATCTCTTCTGTTATAAATACTCTAATTATAACGATAAAAACAACAGAATAAGGGCCCCTGGGTGGCCCTGTCAGTTAAGCATCCAACTTTTTAATTTAAATTTTAGTTAGTGAACATACAATGAAATATTGGTTTCTGGAGTACAATTCAGTGATTCATCATTACATATAACATCATTTACATATAATAGCTCATCAAAAGTGCCCTCCTTAATACCCACCCCCATCTAGCCCATCCCCCACCTACCTCCTTCCATCAACCCTCATTCTGTTCTTTATTTTTAAGAGTCTCTTACAGCTTGTTTTCCTCTCTCCTTTTCTTTTTCCCCTTCCCATATGCTCATCTGTTTTCTTTCTTAAATTCCATATCTCAGTGAGATCATATAGTACTTATCTTTCTCTGACTGACTTATTTCACTTAGCATAATACACTCTAACTCCATCCATGTTGCAAATGTCAAGATTTCATTCTTTTTGATGACTGAGTAATATTCCTGTGTGTGTGTGTGTGTGTGTGTGTGTGTGTGTACATATACACTACCTCTTCTTTATCTATTCATCTGTCTATGGACACTTGGGCTCTCTCCATATTTTGTTTTTTTTTTAAGATTTTATTTATTTATATGCCAGAGAGAGAGAGAGCACACAAGCAGGGGGAATGGGAGGCAAGGGGAGAAGCAGACTCCCCACTGAGCAAGGAGCCTGATGCAGGACTCCATCCCAGGACTCTGGGATCATGACCTGAGCGGAAGGCGACACTTAACCAAGGCACCCAGGCGACCCCATAGTTTGGCTATTGTTGATAATGTTGCTATAAACATCAGGGGGCATGTACCCCTTCGAATCTGTATTTTCCTATCTTTTGAGTAAATACCTAGTAGGGCAACTGCTGGATCGTAAGGCAGTTCTATTTTTAACTTTCTGAAGAAACTCCAAACTGTTCTTCAGAGTGGCTGCTCCAGTTTGCATTCCCACCAGTAGTGCAACAGGGTTCCCTTTCTCCATATCCCTGCCAACACCTGTTGTTTCTTGTGTTAATTTTAGCCATCCTGACAGGTGTGAGGTGATAGCTCATCATGCTTTTGATTTGTATTTCCCTGATGATGAACGATGTTAAGTATATTTTCATCTGTCTTTAGCCATCTGGATGTCTTCTTGGAAAAATATCTATTCATATCTTCTGCCCATTTCTTAAATGGATGATTTGTTTTTTGGTTGTTGAGTCTTACAATGTTTTTACAGATTTTGGATACTAACCCTTTATCAGATATTTCATTTGCAAGTATCTTCTCCCATTCCATAGGCTGCCTTTTAGTTCTGTTGATTTGTTTCCTTTGCTGTCCAGAAGCTTTTTTTTTTATTGTTACACTAATCACCATACATTACATCATTAGTTTTTGATGGAGTCCAGAAGCTTTTTATCTTAAGTCCTAAGAGTTCATTTTTGCTTTTGTTTCCCTAAATATTCTAATTATAACCATAAAAACAACAGAATAGGGGTGCCTGGGTGGCTCAGTCGGTTAATCGTCCAACTCTTGATCTTAGCTCAGGTCTTGATCTCAGGGTCATGAGTTCAAGCAAGCCCTGTGTGGGGCTCCACACTAGGCATGGAGCCTACTTAAAAACAAAAACAAAACAGAAATATATGGGTACCATACCTGCACAAGGGGCCAACATATTAACCACTTCTATTCGGTCAATATAGATCATGACCCCACCACTAAAAACAAAGAAATGGAAAAAGTATGAGCCAAATAAAATTAACAATCCCAGATTCCCACATTGTCAAACATATCCCACATGATAGAAATTTAGAAGGAAAATCTAAAGACATACACAACTCATTGATTAAAATGACCACCAACCTCATCACTCAGATGTCCCTACACACACTTAATCTACCTCCTCTCATAACCAAGGCTCACCCCTGTAACTGCTGTAATCAAAACAGCTCACATGAAGACTAAACCTATAACCTCGGGCTACTTAGCACTTTACCCTTATTAACTGAAGCCAACAACTAAAGCACTGCCCTTCTCAAACTTTTCCATCAAAGAACCAAGTAAAATCGTTCCCCAAGAGGTATGAAAGCCAGCCATGGGCTGACATTTTTTTTGGTTTCCTGACTTATCTTAATAATTCATGAGGAGTTTTAATCTACTTTTTAATCTGTATTCATTCTAACATGAAAAAAAGAATTTCCCCCCAAACCCTCAAGTAAAACTGACACTTCAGAAAGATAGGTCTTGTTAATTAATGGCTTCCTATACCTCCTGGCCTATCAGCACAGACCCTAAGGCATTTATGTGAACCTCAACTTAAGATACGTGAAGTTAAAGATTTTGAAACTAAACAACCAAGTCTTCCTAACAACTTATAATGACATTTTTTTCCTGATAAAAAAGGGTAATAACTGCTCAAAGAAAAATCTGAGAAAATAAGGGAAGTGTGAAGATGAAATTTACCCCAAATCTCATGAGTTGCAAATTCTGAGTCCCCTCTAAGGGGAATCCATAGAAGAGAGTCACAGAAAGACCTAGAAAGAACTTAATATCAAATATGTAAACTTAGAACAGAGGGAGATTCTCCCTCTTTAGAAGCATTCTGTCCTTCCATAGATGTCCAAGCCTATTTTACAGGCTTGTAAATATCGATGTTTTAGTCATTTAAAATAAGAGCATTTAAAAAAATACCTTGAATTTCACATTCTTCTTTTGATACAATTCAACATACTGATTATACTCTAGAAATAATTTGGGCTTTGCTTGCTGTTCTTCCCCTAAAACTCCATACGGCAGACTTTCAAAGTAAGGTCCTCTGACCAGCAGCAGAAGCATCACCTAGAAACTTCTGCTAGAAATGCAAATTTTTTTTTTAAAGATTTATTTGAGGAAGAGAGAGAGGAAGGGAGAGTGAGAAGGAGAAGCAGACTCCCTGCTGAGCACAGAGCCTGATGTATGACTTGATCCCAGGACCCTGAGATCATGACCTGAGCCAAAGGAAGACACTTAACTGAACCACCCAGGCGCCCTAGAAATGCAAATTCTCGAGCCTAATTACAGACCTAATGAACCAGAAACTCTAATTAGATGGCATTGAGGGGATGCCCGGGTGGCTCAGCAGGTTAAGCGTCCGACTCTTGGGTTTCGTCTCAGGTCATAATCTCAGGGGTATGAGATGGAGCCCCACATTGGAGTCTGTGCTCAACATGGAGTCTGCATGAGATTCTCTCTCCCTCTCCCCCTGCTCACTCTCTCTAAAATAAGTAAATAAATAAAATCTTTAAAAAAAAATCTTTGTTAGATGGCATTTAGTACTACAGATGACAAGAAGGTGAGAATGATTTCATCCAAACTGTTTGTTATTGAGTACCTAAGTCTGAGTCAAGTGGTGGGTTAGACACTTTACATACACTAATCCTAATCCTCACAATAACTCTGCAAGATAGGTCTCATTACCTGATTTTTACAAACAAGGAAAGTAAGCTTAACAAAGTCAATAAATACATGTATGGGGACAAAGAGTATATGGGAACTCTGTCCTTTTGCTTAGCTATGAACCTGTAAGTGCTCTAAAAACTAAAGTCTATTAAAAAAGAAAAGTCAGTAGAGCAGATGTGGCAGTGCTGATATACGAAGTTAGGTCTGCCAGCTCCGAAACTACTTTTTTCAATACCCAAGTGGCTTCTAAGATGGAAAGCTTGGAGACAGGGCTTTACTCAAATAATGCTCAGAAGAGAAATCTCCCTGGATCACTATCATGTCTATCTGAAAGATGTTTAAGTAACCAGAGTTTATGAACAGAAACTCCATCTGACCTAAAGGCAGGTTGGTAAGCAAGGGGAAAGCTTACCTTGTTCCACAAGGCACATTTTTAACTTCATCGGTTTGTAGTGTTGTCTGGGGGTAAAAAAATATTTCATGAATACTCAGGACACATATTGTCAAAAAACTACTGGTCCCAGAGGAAAACCTCCAGAGAACTGCTAAGAGGTAAGTACAGAAGAGCTCCATTACCGTTTCAGTCCCCAAAGATTAGCTATCAGAGAAATTTCTTTTTGTATCCTAGTAGACATGAAAAACAAGACAAAACATTTTATAACTGATGTCCCAATGAAGATGCACTTGCACAACCTAGAGTGGAGAGGTTAATTGGGGGTGGGAGCTGGGGCAAAGACAAAAAAAAGTACACTTGGAAAGTTTCAATGTTCAATTTGAAAGTTTCAATGTTCAGTCTTTCAGAGTTCCTAATTTGCATAGAACTGGCCTGGGATTGGAAACTACATGGCTTACCCGTAAGGATACTACCATTAGGACTTGTGCTCTGAACTTTAATTCCACTGCACATTCTGGACACACTGAACCTTATTTAAGGATACGGCAAAATATTACTTTATGGAATATAAGCAAAAAAGGAAATATGGTCCTTGTTTCTAAAAAGCTCACAACCCAACACAGGAAATAAAATCCTCATAAAACAATCTATAGTAAGTACAAAATAACAGAGTATATTGTTAGGTTAAGTGATAAAGAGTAAAATAATAGTTTGGAAAGCTCTCTGCGGTGAAGTATTTATAAGCCAGGTCTAGAGGGGGAAAATGAGAAAGATGAGGTAGGGACACATCTCAGGTTCAATAGCTCCTCATGCCAGGAGATCCTTCAGGCCTACATATATAGACTGTACATAGGAAGACTTTGTGACTGTCACCTGCTTTTTTCTTTTTTTAATATTTATTTGAGAGAGAGAGACAGAGAGAGAACATGAGTGGGGGCAGGGAGAGAGGGACAAGCACACTTCTCCAGGGAGCCTGACGTGGGGCTCAATCCCAGGACCCTGAGATCATGACCTGAGCCAAAGGCAGATGCTTAACCGACTGAGCCACCCAGGTGCCCTGCTTTTTGCTTTCTCTGTGCCTTGGCAACAAGTGTTGGCAAATGAGACTTTCTCCTGGCCCCTGCCCACTGGGGACCTTCCAGTCTAAACCATCCATCTTTCTCTTGCCTGAGTGCCAACATGGTTGTCCTTCCAGTCTAAACCATCCTTCTTTCTCTTGCCTGAGGAAGGGAGGCAGGCTAGGCAGAGGACAGAACTAGAGGCAGTCCATCTAGGAAACGGGACCATGAGGCCACACATGTAGAACATTTGAATTGCTAGTCTGCAGCTTTTATTTCTGGTGTGTTTGTTGCACAGCTGTTTGAAATGTTTAATAAAGCTTTATAAACTCAAAAAAAAAGGAGCTATCCTATTAAATATACAAAGTTGAGGACAAATAGCGTGTATAGATGACAGGAAGTGAGCTGGCTTGCCTGGAGCAAAACAGGCAATATAAAGGAGGGCAAATTCTGCTACGTGAATGTGATATTAGACAGAGGGCCCAGGATGTTCGCTGGAGGGCTTGGGCTCTCCATAGTCCATCTTACATTCAGCCACAAAATGGACCTTTCAAAATGTTTTTTTTCCCTTTAATTCCTGTACTTCCATGTGATATGGTTCTCATTATCCATCTTATCTGGAGGCAAGAAAACCAGCTGAGAAGCTAAAGTATTGATTTATTTAAATTAATTTAGTAAAGGCCATGGAAATTGAAGGCTGTCAGTTCAGGAGACATAACAGGAAGGATGTAGTTAAGTAGCTACATATTCCATGAGGGAAAAGAAAAGAAGATAGCTCTAGGGTTGAGAGATTAGGGGGATGGTAAACATTAATAACAGGTTCTAGACAGAGTGAGGGGAGTTGATGAAGAGATGAGTTCAATTTATTTCCTTCAAAATATTAACCAAATTCAATTTCCATATCCCATTATCAGCTTTTAATATACATTCCTATTTAACCTAGAGGATGTCACCTAGCCAAGAACTAGGGAAGAGTTCAAATGTTAAATCCTCTACTTAATATCCTATCTTCAAGTACTTTTATACTTCTTTTCTATCAAACCCAAAATTATCTTCTCAGTATAAACATTTATTTTAAAAGTAAGTCTTTGGTTATATTATACATGCTTTAAAGGGTGAAGGTTTTCATATTTCTCTAAGCATAGGTTTTGGGTTTTTTTAATATCATATGCAGGATCTCACATTTTCCAAGATGCTACTTGTATATTCCTTTCAGCTGCCAAGTTTGTTAAACCATTTGTTTATATAGGTTGTGTTCTCATGCGTTCCAAAGATTCCTAAAAATAAATTTATGTCGCATTCTTACAAGAACAATTTCTTAAAAGAGTTTTATTATTGTATTTCTTTCCTAGAATGTTATTGTGTCATGTATAAAGAAAGAACATTCCTATTTAGCCGCACTGGCTCTAGCCTTTAGTATTTTGTATATGTGAGGTATACTAGTTTATACTAAAATCTTTTTACTAATTTCATGTCTTGTAAGTATGACAATTTATTACTATTTATGCGTATATACATACACAGTATATGTCTGTCATATGCTGTTAACTTCTAAATCTGTTTTAATGTTTATTGACTGTAACTCTTTTATATATCTCTGCATCAGTATGCCTCAAAATAATAAGCTCCAAGAAAGCAGAAACAGATCTGCCTGGCTTTGAACAGGTTTTTAAAAAGCTCCTTATCTCTAAGGGTCTGAGGATGCCACTGATAACATCATTACTAACTGTTTGGGCTGTTAGTGAGGTCATGTAATTAAAACCCCTTCTTTCATGAGGAATAACTGAAGTCTACAATGGTTAAATGTTCTGCAAAGTCATGTAATCAATTAGTGGCAAAGCCAGAGCCAGAACCTAAGTCTCCAGGTTTCTGGCCTCATGTTCACTACACCATATTGCTTCCTAAGAAATCAGCTCAATTTAACAACTTTCACCACAAGCAGAAAGGTCAGAAATATAAATGTGTTACAACCCAATTCGGGAAGTTGGGAAACTTTCCGGAAAGAAAATACACAAAGAAACTTAGAGAATACAAACAACAGTATTAAAGGAAACATGACAAGAGCCAAAATTTACCATACAGACTTTAGGTGCTATAGATTAGAAGAAGAGGGATTTGCAATGAGACTTTAAAAGACTGGCAAGATTGAGATAGGAGAGCAGTAATGAAAGGAGAGATAATGAAAGAAGAGGTGACAACATGAACCAAGGCAAGAGTGAAAAAATAAACATGGGAAAACAATATGGAAATCAGTCTGACTAGGGAAAGAACACTACATTTCATTTCGACAGACACAATTCTTGCCCAAAGCCATCTAAAAGGGAATTGGAAATCTGGAGGATTTAAATATTCATGATGAAACTCTCACTAGCACGGAGCCTAGACTTAAATTACAAGATTAAATACATTGAATTTTCCTGAGTCCTGGATAAATCAGCAGCAGACAGTACACAAACTTCTGAATCCAAAGATTTATGATCACACTGAGCTTACAAAAGCAGTCATGATCTAATCCTGTGTTTTCATCTTGTTGTATCAAAAGATATTTACTAAGTGTCTCCCATGGCCAAGATACTGTTTTCAATGAACAGATGCTTATTTCAAGTATTCTGGGATGCTGCCAAAATAGAACATTCACTAAGGTTCCACATACAATTGTGTTTAATGTCCCAGGCAAAAATGTTAGGCAGAAAAGTTGTGTATAAAAATTTAGATCCTACATGTTAACAGTCCAGGACCTGGCCTCTATGGAAATCAAACACCACTCTAAATGAAATAATCAATGGTTTGTATTTCTAGTTGTGTTTCAAAGTCCTGCTTTTATTTTGACAGCAGGAACATAAAACCTGCTGTATGGCACTATACAGATGGGGGAAGTCCTCAGTCCTTCCAAGTTGCCTGGCTCATACTTCTAACATACTTTAAGAGAGTGAGGTGGTTCAAAATCGTGTACTGTGACAATTGTACTCTGAACTTTGTGACTCCTGTATTTAAGTAAATACCACCATTTGCTTAAGCAATAAAGAAATCCAACTCCACCCACAAATGTGGTAACTGTTCCTGTCACACCTGTCTATCCAGTGTGGGAGCTTCCCTAGGAATCACTCACCTGCACAGATCTGAACGTAGTAATGAAAGGCAACATGATATGATAGCCTGGTCCACTGGGGCTAGTTAGTAAAGCTCCTCCCCTGCAAAAAGATGTTTCAATTTGACAAGATTATAAAAAGAGAAATCCTCTTTTCAAAACTAAAATGCTATAATAAATATTCACTCTTACTCATGTTACTGACCTACTAAAACCTCACTAATAAGAGCTATTCATTATGAACAACTACCGGTCCCTAAAATATCTGCCAAAGTTGGAAAAGATCAAATTAAACTGCCAATGTTACACCTTGTTTCATAAGCTCCAACAATGATACCTCTGGGTCTCCAGCACTGCTCTCAGGTACAAAGGATTCTCCTTGGTCTTTAAGCTTCTGAGAAATAATTGTGAAAAAAATTCTAATGGTCCTCAGCTGTTGTACTTTAATCGTACAGAACACGAACCAAATTCAAAACATAATACATTTAATCATCAGGTTGAAAAAAGAAGATAACACAAAGTTTCAAAGAATGAGAAAATTTCTGAGGCTCGTGACTCTTACTCTATCCACCTACATTAAAATACTGGAGGACTAAAGTCTCTATTAAAAATAACAAACACTTAGCATGGAAAGATGAAGGGTAGGGGATAAGCTATAAATAAGATAGTATATAACTGTGGACTTGTTCACCAAATTCTGGAATGTGAGAAATATGAAAGTACATCTTAAAAATTCCACAAAGGAGGCATTTCGGGGGCAATACAAAAAAGAAGTCCTATTTTACATAGTGAATAATAAATTTATAGAATTTAGTTTCTTATCTTGAAAACATAAATAGGTTTCAAAGAATTCATAACAAATAACTAAGAAAAGTTGAACTGAGGTCCATTCCTAATTCTTTGAGAGCAATACCTTGAAATGTTCCTTCCTCAGTTTTACTGTCAGGAAGACAACGCTGAACTAGGTGGAAATATGGACTAGTCTGTCATTTGTTATGCTAGATTTCCATCTGCTAAGACCTACCACTAAAATTGTATTTGAAACTAGATTCAGGATGGATGTTAAAGTAGAAATATCAGTTTTGGGGGATAACAAAAACAAGCAGAAAGTTGAAGCTCTTTCAAATACATTATAATTGCAATTTCTCCAAAATGTCCTGTCGACACAAAAGGAACTGGTTGGAACTATGCTGAAGGAAAAACTATTCCGCCTCACCCAGAGAGCAACACACCCGTTATTCCTTTCCTTAACTTGAAAAGAAAGGGTAAGGTGGGAGAATGGTGGCCCATCAATGCTGTATTTGTCCCTCAAGGCCCAGAGATATAACAATTGTCATGGTCATCATGGCTTCCTAAGCCAGAACCGGTCACTATTTCCACTATGAGAGGGGAAAAAAATCTAAGGAACAACCACAAACAGCACCAGAGTTTCTAAATGGCATCTCTAACTACAAACTAAAAGCCTGTACAGCGATGTGATTTATCCACCTCTTCAGTCACAGTGGAGTTTCTTTCACAGTGGATTGCCTTTCTTTCTTCCTTCGTTTTTCCCACAAGTAATTGAGTTTGCGGTCTGCTAGGAAGACTTCTCTGGAGAAAGTCTTAACGTCTGCACAAAATGCACAGGGCACTAGAACAAATACCTAGAGGGTGCTCTGCCTCCATACTCCCCCAGGGCTGGGACGAAAATCACTTCCGAAGACTGGAAGAGTTCCCCGATGCTGCAAGAGGGTACAACTTCACAGACTCACTCTGAGGGGAGTCCCCTTTCTACCTACTTCAGACCTGAGCTGACTGCACATGCCGCTCACCTGTAGTACACAGCCAGGTGTCCTTCCTCGATCTTGTGAATGGAGGCGTAGAGAAGGACAACCACCAGACTCACCACTGCGGCCACCAGAACCCGGGCTTGAGTCATATTCATCCTTTTCCTCCTAGATGAGGGAGGAAAGAATCCCCAGCCCCGTGAGTGACAGGCCCACCCCCTCCAGTTTCCACCCTCCCTCGGGAGAGCCGGCGTCCTTCCGCAGGCCGAGCCGGGGAGCCCTGTGCCCCTTGTCTCGCATTCTTCCCTCCTCACACAGCCCCCTTCCCCTAGCCAACCCCTCAGCCCGAACCGGGCCGTGGGCCGCCCCTCCTCGGCGAGCGTCCCGACACCCCCCTCTCTCAACGGCCGCTCCCCACCCTCGCACCCACCCAAACCCGGCGGAAGGCACTAACTGAGAAGGTGGCAGCCGTAGACTCCAGAGGGAGGCCGACCCTAAGGCCGGGCCTCACGGATCAGTGACGCATCGCCCCCGCCTGCACGTGCAGCCGCCTCCCCGGCCGCGCCGACCGCCGCCAACAGCCGCCAAGAGCCGGCCCCGCCCACTCGGCTGGGTCTGCGGCTGCGCAGCCACGCACGCCGACGCAGCTCTCACAGCGCCACCGGAGAGACGGGGAGCAGGCAGGACAAAATTCTCCTGGCCTCCCGCCTTCGGAGGTACGTGAGCACTCGTCTGCGTAATACTGGTTTCCTGCTCTGGAAGAGAAGGGAAGTCGGCCGACTGTTGTAAGCAGGGATGTAGAGGAAAGGAGGTGGCGCCTGGGACGAGGGACTGGTCAGTTTGTTCTTGTGCAGAAACCCACTCCTGCACTCGGTGTGGTAGCTATTTATACCGTATGACAAGCACGTGCTTCAGGCACGGATCCTGTGCGAATTCAGGAGCAATAGACCTGTTGCAAGAAAAGTGTTGTGGAAGTTCAGAAGAGAAAGATACTCAATTTGACCACGTCTTTCAGTCATCAGGTATTTTTCTGAGCACCGATTAGTGTGCCAGAATATCGATCCAGTGAGGGCTTCATAAAGGTCATCCCAAATGACCTTTGGAACAGAAAGAGCTAAGCACGTAAGAGTGGTGTGCGTGTGTGTTGGGGTGGGGTGGGGGGCTCCAGGTAGGCTCAAAGAGCACTGCAACTTCCTTGAAGCCCATGTGTTGGAAAGGATGTTAGAGGCTACACCAGGCCCAGACTCTGAAAGGCTTGCATGCATTTTTTCCGCAGGGAGAGGGAGCTGGATGACTGGAAAACAGAAAGACTTTTTTTTACCGGAGTCTTCTGTTAAGTTATGGATTTTGTGCCGACATTACCAAAACCAAAAAGGACAAAGTTAAGAGTAGAGATGGGAATGAGATGTTTGAATACAAGGGAAATAAAGGCAGTGTATTTAAAGTAGGTTGGGCAGTAATCCTGTAAACCTTGAAAGGCTAGTGGGACCACAACTGGACAAAGGAGATTAGCATGGCAGGGCTCTGTAACCTTGAGCAGGGAATTATGGGAAAACAGTACTTTAGGGCCAGTGAGTCTGCAAAATGGCTTAGAGTGGAAACAGATTGGAGGCAGAGAAGCCAAGATTACAAAGGTAGTAACTGGAAATGAGAAGTCCTAAACAGGACTTAAAGCCTTCATTAAAGCAAGCCCTCCCAGGCCACTCTGCCCCGTCCCTTCAATAAATGCACTTACCTGTATTGTTCATAGGACTTTTATTATCTACAAATATCTGGGACCTTGTCTGTTCCAGATAAATGATATTAGCAAAACTTAGCTATTTTACTTCCAGAAAGCAAAAAGAAGGAAAAACAACTTGTTCCAGCCCATTTTCTGGATGGATTCTCTTCGTTTTTCATAATACTGCTGGAAGTAAAGAATGAAATGTATACAATCCACAGTTGCCATTCAACTCTGAAAAGGTGTGACCCAATAAAAAATAGTATAGAAACAAGTCTTAGGTGATCTCTCACTATAACCTGTTCTGACTCACAGTACCTGCCCATATCACCCCGGCCATACCATAAAATGGCCACACCCTATAACAGATCTTTTATCAGTTATTACAGTGATATTTAGAAAATATGCAGTCATTTAAACAAATCCTTTCAACAACCATTTCAGTGTTTGGATGGTTTGCAATGTTCAGACTCCCAGATAAGCATTCTTCTTGTACTGCCTTTGTTAACTGTTTCTGATCTTGCCATCTAGCTCACTGTCTTCCAAGCAACAGGTACCCAATATGTGTTTTATTGGGTAGACCTTCTAGAACTAGAGAAGCAAGGGACAACTGCCTATTAAAATAGCTGACAGTCAGAATTTCCATATTTAGAGAAACAGTAGTACCAGATAACTAAAGAGTTAGGAGGGTACAGCCCCAAGATTTCAAACTAGATTTCCATGATGGAAAATGACACTACTAGCAAAATGGGGATGGGGTGACTAAGACCTCAGTTTATAGAGCAAGATATGAGCATGGTTTTTAGACATGGAAAGTGGTGACAGGACATCTCAGGAGAAAAAGACTATATTAAGAGAAGCTACCCAATGCTGTTTTTACTATTAAGTCCTGTTTAATTCCTAAGGAAAGTACACTGAAGGTCCATTATGTTATTCTGTGCTCCAGTTCCACTTCATGGAACCTCTTCCTAAACCATATTCATACATTCTATCATAATCTGATTATAATGAATAGAGATTCTAAAAGTAATTTAAAAATCATTTAATACACAAAGTGGAAAACTGTCTAGAATATAAAAGCATTTCACATTTTTTAAAAAACACATAATACCTTCTAAATTACTTAACAGATGATAGATCCACAATCCTTTATCTGAAACCCTTAGGGCAAGATGTTTCAGAATTATGAAATTTTCAGATTTTAGAAAGGTAATTCAGTACATATACCATACTACATAAACACCCAGCAGGGTCTGTGGCAGCCCCCCCCCCAATAATCAAATATGTTAATATTTCCACAGCAAAGTAAATGAATATTCACACTAAATGGGATAAGTAGATTTCAATGTCAGTTCAGATTAGATTTGTTACCAAGCTTTTGAAAGACCTTGCTTGCAGAGCTTTTTAGATTTTTGGAATTACAGATAAGGGAGTGCAGATCTTTATAAATTTGTTGGACAAGACATGAAAAATTCATTAAACAAATGATCCACTTTTTATAAGTGAAAAAACAAGTTTCCAAACACATTATAAATTAACAGGCATCTTCTTGATATTATTAAATGTACATCTTAAATACATATACACATAGCACATTTAACAAGATTTGTGAGAATCAACTCGTATTAAAGGTACAGAGGCACAATTCCTTCTGTAGGAAAAGGATACTGTCAAATGTGCAGTGGGATTAAACTCCTTATGTTGCCAGGAAGAGCATTTCTGAATGCAACACAAGGAGGTAGAGTTTATTCTTCATGAAGTATAGTTTTACTTAAAGCAGTCTCTTCCACAGAAACAGGCAAACAACTTTAACTTAGAACACATATATTAGTTGAAGTTTTGTTTTCCAATTACAGATACTACTTTTGGCCTCATGCCCAAGTTAAATAGTAAAAGATGTTTTTAGTCAGTTAAGTGTTGTATCACGTTTGAAGACAAATGGATTGCCATGATGTGCTTAAGTAGCTATCATATTTAAACAAGTCCACTGACATAAAATTCTGTCTGTTCAGATGTTAAAATTTCCTAAAGTCAAAATACTGTGCTTTTAAAATCATGCATATTTTCTGATCATAGCCATTTCTTCCATTTGCTGGTATCTGAAGAATGGTTTCATGGGAGAAAAACAAATTTCCAACACGTGCACCAACAACTTCCATAGGTTTGGGGACAGTGAATAAGTAGCAAGTCATTCTGTTAACCATCTCCAATCAAGATTCTAAAACCAGGCATGAAAAAGTTACAATTAGATGTTGACTATAAGCAGTAGGTTTATGGGTGTTACTTTTTGCAAGTTTTCTGTGTGTTTGAACATTTTATAATCAAAAGTTGAAAAATCAAAAGTATAAGTTACAATTAGAGAGTTTAGTTTTACCTTCTTTCCTGCCGATTAAAAAAGTATTTCAGAGTTTTCATAAATATTTGAAGTAAATAATTAATGAAAGGAAATACAAACAGTTGCCCTTGAGACTAACTGTAGTAAAGTTAATTCAGTAAACATTTTATTGTGGTTTCTCTGAGTTTTAACAAATCAGTAATTCGCAGTAACCAAATCTTCTTAATACTTCTAATTACAACTGTATTAACATTATTCATTTTGCGTACTACAGTTACTACATTTGAATTATAGTACAAATCCTGTCCCATCGTCCTGGAGAAAATTGATTGCTGAACCAAAAAGATACAAACCATTCAATTTCAGTGGTCACATTGCAAAAAAAAGTTCACCCTTCAATTCGACCAAATATGCTACTGTTGAAGATTACTGATGACATAATCCTAGTATATCCATGAGTAATATCCGTGAGTAAGAGAAGACAGGGATTTGAGGTCGAGGATATAACGCAAATGTTCTTTGTCTTTCTTCTGGGTTCTTCTCTTCCCCATATGCATCCCAAATGCCAGATGAGGCTAGCATGGAAAGTTAAAACCCTTTGCACCCAACAAACCTAAAACACCCATATCCATATAAAACTTACCATCATACTACTGCCCTGTTCCTCATTTGCTTCATGAATAATAGTGCTTAAATGGCCAAGACAGTTCAAATTTTCTTCTATCATTTGTGCTATAGTCTCCCTGTATGATGAAAAAACAAAGCCTTTTCAAATGCAGCAAAGGGGCATATGTATTTCCTCTACCTTCTGGTCTTCAGCGTCAGGATGATCACTGCCCTTCCCGCAGCCCTGCAAGCCAGTGCCCCAGTGCAGCTGATTCCTATAGTCTTCAGTTTCCTCCTCCCTCCCACCCAGAGGCAGAGTCCTACTTGTTAATCCAAGCTGTTGCCTCTGCCCAGCTCAAATGAGAAGAAGTCCACTAAAAGTCCAATCTCATTTTCCTCTGAAACAAAAGCGGCACTCCCATACAACACTTCCCACACCGAAAATGCTTGCTGGGAGGTGGGGGAGATAATTACAGTACAGATACATGAAAAATCTCTTTTTGTTTCTGGACTATTTCCCTTTCCTTATAAGTAGTAGAAACATCAGTATGCTTATTTCAAAGACACAAATGTAGGGGTGACGATAAAAAAGTACAGTCTGGTCTGCAAAGATGAGGGAAGGTGAAAACTCTGGTTGGAAACTACAGGTGACAGCAGTGAAAAAGAAAACAAGCAAGCTGATTCCTGAGGACAGAAGAAGAAAATAGCATCACAGGGGAGCTCCCCAGAACCAACAAGTATCCCTGGAAGTTTATATTTGAAGGAAATCCTGATTCTGGTTTCTACCTTCCCCATTTCCCTCTGCCATATGGCCTCTATCCTTTACCTTTTACCAACCCTCTGTCTCTACCTTACTAAAATCAGTTCTAGGCCATGGATGGTAGCCACTATAAGCTTAGAACTAAATTCTAATTTAGCTCGTATTCAAAAGATGGAAAAATTGAGGCCAACAGATTCCAATCCTTGGCGATTAAGTACTATGTGTACATTATAATTGAAATCAATTTTACTTTGTAACATATTCCTACTGGAAAACATATTTAAAATTCCTGTATGACATGCTTTTGCTAACAACCACAACCTCAAATTAGAAATTACCTGTATAGAGGTGACATTTGCAACCATTAACATCCCCTAACAAACCTAAATGCCTTTAATAAAAGCAAAAAGGTTAGTAATGTATTAAGTTTTATTTGCTTCAACTCTGATTAATGGAATATTTCCTAAGTCAATTAAATTACAGCCTGTGCTGTAGCTGTGGATGTATTACATTGGGCCAAATCTCTAATGACCCCAAGATATACCCTGTAACTTGCTTTCTTTAAAAAAAATAAAATACCTGATATCAGCTTTCCTTCCTGCCATGTGCTTTTTCTCTCTTAAAAGTAGAGTACAGAATGTGCAACTGCATGACCTCCTGAGCAGTGATGTACATGGCTGCACTTCTGCAAAACTAATTATGGACAGAGTTTCCAGGTAATGCTCGTGCTGCTGTAGAGGCCTCCATGAGTTGTGAAAAAAGCGACAATGCACAAGCTAGCAAAGAGCCACTGGCTCTGGATACGGCACATCTTATGCTGAGAAAAATAACAGAAATGGGTAGTCATTCAGCTTTTAGCAGAGGAGTAGGAATTAATAAAAGAAAATACAGGGCTTCAAACTTGAGTTCTTATTTGCAAAACTGATTTAAAGCATTGAAAAAAGTCTAATTTTAGAAATACTAAGTTATAAAATAGAGTAGATTAAACTCAATCATTCTTTAGAGGGGTGATGATCAAGAACCCCAAAATGATAAATGCAAAAGAGCATAATTTCTGAGATAAATGGTTATGGAAGAAATAGCTTGGGTAGAAGAACTGATAAGCCAGTAACAGAGAACTTAGAACTTGGATTGAGCTAAATAAATAACATTTGCTGATATTTACTTCCCAGGTACTTCACATACAACATCTAATTGAATTTTCACAGCAGTTCCCACTTAACAGGTGAGGAAATGTGAACATTAAAAG